ACCTTGCAATATTAGCTTGATTTACTTCTTAACTAGGCTTGACTAAAAAAATCAACACATATCTCAACACCTAAGGTTTGTGAATAGTAAAATTATAAATTTACCCCTCCTCATTTTAACATTAGGTGTTGAGATGAGTGTTATTTTTTGAGTGTATGTATAATTGCCCCTGAATTTAATGAACCATGCCTCATCAACGTCAAAGCTTAGAAAATAACAAAAGCAGAGAAATTTGAAAAAAAACAGGAATCAATTGACCAAGTTAAGGTCGTAAGCCAAAAGCAGATTGCGTAAAATAATGGAAATTTGAGATGACAGGTCCACGTGTCTTCTCCCACGCCGTCCCTCTGGATCCCAATGCGCGACGTTGGAGAAACAAAACGACACCGGTTGTTCAAGAATTTGCTTGGAAAGCAGTAAGATCCATGTTATATGTTACGGTGACGTTGGAGAAACAAACCGACAGCGGTTGTTCAAGAATTTGCTTGGAAAGCAGTAAGATCCATGTTATATGTTACGGTGAGGCCGCCAATGGTGATGGAAACTGCAACCCCAGCCTCAGTGACAGAAAAGAGAGTTTCCACAATACACTCTGTAGGGTTCATCAAGCAATTAATCGAGAATGGCAAGCTTTGTGAAAGAATTAACGAGAACAGACGTTGGTTCCATGTTGGTAATCCCAGTTTCATTCATGAACAACATGCCACAGGTTCAAGGAGGACACTCCATAAATATAACGGTATCAAATGCAGGTGGAACAGAATGGAATTTTGGATACTACGTCCGAGCGAACCAAAATCCGCGGCCTGTTCTGAAATCAAGCTGGTGCCACTATGTCCGTGAGAAAGGACTGAGAGTTGGTGACAGAATCATATTTCAGCGTCTGGAATGCTTCCCAGTGCGTTACAGGATTGGAGCAAGAAGAAGAGTAACTATACTTGGTCAGGAGGTATGGACTGACGAATTCTAATTAAGAATACCATGCTATATGTATGATGTTTTGAAGCAAAACTCGTACGCTTTCTAGCAAAGGAGTCAGTATCGTACCGTACCGGCCGGTACGACCGGTATGTACTGGTTTTGAAGGTTAACCGAAACGAAATAAGTTAAGATTTCGTTTCGGTCAAATTTCGGGTGTACCAGTCAAATTCCGGTGTACCGGTCGAAATTCCGGGTACCGACTGGTACATTAGAATTTGACTGATACATTATGCAGGAAGAAAAAAAAAAAATCCCCAGCCAAAACGTCGTTTTGGCTGGGGGTGGCGGCGGGATACCCACGCGGTAACTCGATCCGACGGCCATAGTCCCTCGGAACCAACAGGAGCGCCGCAGTGGGCGTCAGATCTAGCAGCCCTCGCGCGCGCTGCCACAGATCCGCCGGAGGAGAAAGAAGGTCGCTGGATCTGCACCGAACAGAGCAAAAAACAGCAAACAAACAAAGCAAAGCAACATATAAACAAACAAACCAAAAAAACCCACACAAAACAAAAAACAAAGCCAGATCAGCAAGGGGATGGTGAAGATCCGAGGTGAAAGAACGGAGGT